AATAATTAACTGTCCCTGTCACACTAGAATCCTTCATTGAAACAAAGGTCAGAACACTTGGTGAATCCTTCTGCATCTTTTTCAGAGGCTTTTAGTTCTGAAGGACTGGTCTTTTATCTTATGTCCAATTATAAAGATACTAAGGAAATTCATTAAGAAGCAAGTTGCTGATGAGATAGGAGTTAGACCTCACTTAATAGATAGACGGGATAAGGGCCCAAAAGGACCCAAAAGGAAGTCGCCGTGTTTTTCTTTTTCGTGAAGTCTCTGTGTTTTCCCTCTATGGTCTGATTAATGCACAATGCACGCCCCTTTTACATGTCTCTAAAGGACTTATGACTCCTTGCTAATAAGGTAGGAGACAAGGACACTGAGTGCACAGACAGGCTAAGACTCAAGATGGAGTCACAGTGGCTAAGTTTTTGCAGCCAAAAGTTGGTCGCACTGAGACTGACAGTAACTGTCGCGACAGGGGCAACAGAGCAACAGTTCCTATTTAGTAACTGTATTCTAGCCAGAAGTACAGAACCCTATGGTCTGCTAACCCCACAAGAAAATAGCATAATAAGTCACTCAGACTACCATGCAACCATTTTCTAAAACCCACTTCCTTATCAGAAAGCCAAGTGATAAAAACTCACCTCCAGCCACTCTTTGGCAACCTATTCAGGCCCCCTTCCACTATGCTGGAAACTTTTCCTGCTTTTCTAATAATAAACTCTGCTCTTCTTTCCTCTTTTGTGTCCGCGTCTCTAATTCTTCATGAGCGCAGGACGAGAACCAACGTGGGTGTTGCGTCTGATCACCCAGCACTCCCACCTCTCTGTGAAATGTGCAGAATGAAATACCAGTGTATGTGCCTTAAATAGGAAAAAAAAAAAGTCGGTAAGATGTTGCATAAGATATATAAGTAAGGCGTAAAAACTGTGACGTCTGAGTAATTATAACAAAAGATTCAAGTGATCTTTTCCTCTTTTGTGAAAGAAGGAAATGCAAACTGCATGGCGTGCACAAGGGTCTGTTGGTATTTATTGTTGGCTTAATATATTATTACACAATCTTTTTAAAGGTATGTTATATTTCCTCCATTTTAAAACTGGGAAGGGCAAAGTAACACACACAGTAAAGAGAAAGCACAAACAAAAACGATGTAATGTAAATATATAGAGAGTGTCTGGTCTCTGTAGCAGAAACTGAAAGATTGGAAGGTAAAGCAGTGACTGCAGGTACTGGAGACCGAACAGCAGGGAGTGAAAAGTAGGGAATGTGAGGGAGAGGATTAGGGGGAAAATACTTAGCAGACAAAAATGAAACGTTGTCTGTCAATAATGTATATGATAATGTCTGCTTGACGAACATGAGCTGTCTTCATGCTGAGAAAAACCCTGTTGTACCAGGTAAAGATGTACAGTGATTAAACATAAATTTAAAAAAAGAAAGAATGAAACCCAGCAATAATAATAGAAGCAAATATATTTAGGTTGAAGGATGTATTTCACAGTATTCTTTTTAGAGTCTCATGCTCTACCCACTGAGCTAGCTGGGCTACGGCCCCACAATGTGCTTTTAAATAATTTGGATACGTGCAGCATGCAATACTCAGCTAAAACATAAATCCTTAGTGGGCCTGAAAATAGGAGATGGACAAAGGTATATCAGATAAATAGAAACAAGACTTATATAGTTGTAGCTATATAAGCAATGAGAAACTGACCTCAAGGACGAAATGCAATGTTTATTCTCTCTCATTCCAATTCCTGTTTTCCCATTCATTCTCTGAGCTCAGTCTTTCCAAACATATGCTCCTAACCTCCCAGGACTTGCGATAAGTCCTCTTCATTTTTGTCTTATTTCAAACTCACCATTTTCAAAGCTTAGGTTTTGTGTTTCAACTCTGGCAGTATTAACTACCTGTATGCCATGGCTTTGACATTTACATGCTGAGTCTTATGTTGTTTATAATTGTGTATTTCTCTAGTTAAATTATAATTTTCCTAGAGTCAAAGACTATGTTTTCTTCTGGAACAACCCCTGAACAACCACCAGGTAGGAGAACCATGTCACCTGGCATTATCGCATAATAGAAAGTCAATAAACATGTTAGCAGTCCAACTGAAAAATGGCTTGTGAAAGCACATTATAAGTTTTTTACAGGATGCTTGAGTTCTTTGCCAATCCTATGCATTTGCATTTTCTAAGCAATCTCTCAGCCAAAATTTTAAAATGGAGCAACACAGAGACGTGCATTATGGTTAGAGAGTAACTCGAAGCTGTGCCAAGTTGGCAAGCCTGAGACCACAGGACCAGTAAATGGGTGTCCCTCTCTGTACTCTGTTGGAAATTCTCACAGGCTCAGGATGGTCTTCTTTAAGGAAGGACAGGGATTGCATCTAATAAACTGTGTTGTATTCCTGGACCAAAGTGCAATACGTGCTATACAGTCAGTAAACCACTCTGCAAAGGTGAGGAAGGTAACTGTTAGTCTAGGGCAATCTAATTCACTCCCATGGCTTTGCAACAATGTGTAATGGAAGGTTTTCTAGTGCGGTTCTTCAGCCTTGCCTTTCAAAGGGAATGAGGGATTTGGAGGGTAGAAAAGCCAGCGTAGCTGAGGCAGGATGCAGATCTAGCAGAGCAGTTGGGGCTCTGGAGGTAAGGGCTGACTGGAGCAAAACTGAGCGAAGTGGACAGATTCTGCGGGTTGATGGTGGACTATGGAGACAGCAGTAAGTTTAAAGGAAGATGTGGAAACTCATGGGAAGGTTTTCAGTGCTTGCCTTACTGGTCATAGAGGAGTGGGTAGAGTTCTTCCTTTTTTATGGCATGCAAAATAGGCTATCTGCTGCACACCTTTCAAACATACTCTTTTTCAAATAGGCACTATAGGGCTGGCAGGGGCGTGGTGGCTAAGGGCGCTGGACTCCCACATGGCCAACTATGGTTCAAGTCCCAGACCTGGCAGCTTGTTTTCTCACTTTCATTCTCTCTCTCTCTCTCCCTCCCCCATTCTGTCCCTCTCTGGTCAAATTAAAATAAATAAATAAATAAAGCTAACTAAAACTAATTTTTAATAAAATAGGCACTATATAAAGCCTATGGTGTAAAATTAAGAGTACAGTAGGGTATATGGTAAAAATAGGAGTTTCTCTTACCTATTCCATTTATTTTTAGGTATATATAACTCTTTCATTTGTTTATATATATTTCAAATAATTCATATAATAACATACAATATTGAAACCTGCCTTATTTATTTAAAGACATGTCCTATAGTTTTTTTCTATTTTTATTTTGTTATCAGTCTAGCCGTGGGCCAGCCTGGGGCACAGTGCTTAAGGTGCTGGACTTCCACATGAATGACTGCAATTAGTCTTGGACCTGGCAACTTGCTTTCTCATTTTCCCTCTCTCTCTCTCTCTGTCTCTCTCTCGTGAGCACACGTGCCCTCTAGAGAATTTTAAAATAATAATAAGAAATGAAATGAAATAAATAACTTAAAAATCCCAGCCTCGAATAGGGTCAGAATACTCAGTGTCCAGCAAGAGTTTCATGTGTGAATAAATGAATGATTTCACAAGAGTTCCTAATTTATCCTTAACCTGAACGTCGCCCACCGACAAGTTTTACAGAAGCTTTATCTTGATTCATCTCCAACAGGCATCTTTTTCTTTCCTATAAACTTTGTATTCATCCTTCAAAGTAACTCTCAAAAAACGCACCCCGCATGAACCTTCTTTGAATAAAACTGTGTCTCTCCTCCAGGGGTTATCTCTAAGCACTTTATAATAGCTATTATAGTTAATGCCCCTCTAATTCTTGTTTATTAATATAATACCCATAGAGCTATGGCCAATAATAATTAACACTGAGTACTGACGTATGCAAGACACGTTACTAAGCACATGGTATACGTGGTCTCCTTAATCCTGACAACACCTCTATAGCGTATGTAACCTTGTTAGGCTCGTACCACTGCCTGTCAGTGCCTTGCCATCATGCCCTTTCTTCACCTCAGTTTTGAGCAGCAAGGTCTCCAAAGTCATCTCTGGAGAGTGTGCTTAGCTCAAGTGTTTAGGTCAGAAGTTGCCCCCCCCCCCCCCCCAGTGATCTTTGGCCAATGAGGTGTACACACTGGTAGACAAACACTCCTGCTTTCTCTTCCTTACGTAGAAAGATTTTGAACTGTGTCCTGCACAGTCACTTCTCAGATTCCTGTGTGATCCATCCATCCCCAGTTGGCAATAAGGATAGACCTCTGCCCTCCCTTTTTTTTTTTTTTTTTTTTTTAGTTTTATGTGTTTGGTGTTTGGTTTTTGGTTTTTGCCATAAAATGCATGAGCTCATCAGAGAAAGAAAGGGAAAATACCTTCTCCTCTGTTCTCCTCGCACCCAACGTGATGTTCAAGCCCCCAGCTCCAGGTCGGCCATGTGGGAGTCTGGCGCCTTAACCACCATGCCACCTCCTGGCCCAGCAATAAATCCCTTTTTAAATTACCTTGTCTTGCCTTTCCTCCCTTGCCTGTGGAAATTCCACTCTTGCTTATTACCTGGAGTCACCTCTCAAACTACTTAGACTAGGATCTTAGTCTCAATTTCTGCTTTTGGGGAAGTCAGATCTAGGGAAATGGATTGAGAGTGCTTGAGTAAATTGTTCAAGTTTACTTACAAATTTACATGGCTGATGTAGGCTACGAACCAGAAGCCATGCACAAAAGCATCCTTTACTGCCAAACACATGTAAGTGCCCCAAAGCAGACCAGTGAACACTGTGGCTCCTCCGCTGGGTGTTTTGAAATGCAAGCCAAAGTCAGAGTTTAATCCATGTTCTGCGCTAAATGCACTTTTCTGTTTTGGAGTGTCTCTTTCGCCCCACGTACATCAGGTCATGCATTTTATGCATGTGAATTCAACACCTGTGCTTATATTTTCTTATGGAAATTGTGTTTTTTTAAAAAGTTTCTCTCGTTTGCTTAGTCTCTCCGTTTCTTGTTTTCCTGCAGATAGCAACTTCATCCTTGCCAACGCCCAGGTGGCTAAGGGTTTCCCCATAGTCTACTGCTCGGATGGCTTCTGCGAACTTGCTGGATTTGCCCGGACTGAAGTCATGCAGAAGAGCTGCAGCTGCAAGTTCTTATTTGGGGTTGAAACCAATGAGCAACTGATGCTTCAGATAGAAAAATCACTGGAGGAAAAGACAGAATTCAAGGGAGAAATTATGTTCTACAAGAAGAACGGTGAGTTGGCTTCCTTCGGTCCTCACGGGAGAGTTGGACGAGGCTACCTTCTACCGTTTAGTCATTGCTTCATAACTCCCACTGAGGCTTCATGGTATTTCACATCAATATGGAAGGTCCACAAATGGTGTGGATGATGGCCTTGGGGTAGCCAGTAGAAGCATAAACTGCCTAGGAATTTAGCATTAGGAATGCAACTATTCAATATCAACACACTGGCTAAGTTAACCTAAAGTATATAGCTATTCAGTTGTGGTCATTCCTAAGATAGATATTACATATAATTGTTGTTCATAGATTAACTAACACACAATCCTTTTTCCAGGGATACGTTTTCAAGTATTGTGCGTTTAATAACTGCATCTCAATCCCAGTCATTAAGGATAGAGACTTCAGTGCTCACTGACAGAAAAAGACTAATTAATTAATTTAAAGAAATCAGCATATGCATTTTCTCTGCCCATCCCCTGGCCACAGAGCTTTTTTCACCACTCTCTTAAATTCTAAAGACAACACAGGTGACCGACCCACAGTGTCTCCGGGTAAAGTAAATTTGCCTCTGGGGAAACATTAAGCGTTTTCTTGACTGCAGTTTTGTTACTGTCTTCTAAATGGAAGGATCTAGAAGTGGAGATAGCATCTACAGCACTTGGCTCCTGTGTGGGAGGCGGTATCAGCAGTATCAGCTCTGGTAGTTGGAGTGAACCCAAGGGGCTGTATGTTGGGGAAATGCTAAATTAAAAATTAGTAAAACCATCATTTTTCCAGTAGCCAAAGCTTCTCTTTAAGAACGTGCCTACTATCTTTGAGTTACAAAACTCCTTGAGTTTCGCATCAGTGTGTGGCTACCACGCTAGAAAATATATTCTCCCCACTCTCTTTGTAGCTAGGTTGGGCAGGTGACTAAGTTTTGGGCCAATAATACGCATGAAGAAATGATATAAGCAGCTTGTGGATAGAATTCCTGAGTGAAATCATCTGCTCTCTTATTTCATCCTTCCCATCTTCCATGGTATTACGGACAGAATTGTGTCCACCCAAGCTCATGTATTGAAACCCTAAACCACAATGAGACTGCATTTACAGATAGGCCTTTAAAGAAGTAATTAAGGTTAAATAAGGCCCAAAAAGTAGAGCTCTAATTCACTATGACAAACATCCTCATGAGACAAAAGGCACCAGGTTGTGCACACAGGGGAAAGGCTTTCTGAGGACACAGGACCCAGCTATCTGCGAGCCAGTGAGAGAGGACTCAGGACAAACCGAACACGCCAGATCCTTTACTTTAGACCTTGAGCGCCCCAAACCCTCAGGAAATAGATTTATATTATTTTAGCCACCCACCCAGACTATGGTATTTTTTATAGTAATCCTAGCAAACTAATGCACATGGCTCTGAAAGTTAAGGCAGGGCTGGAAAACCAACTTCAACCATGTAGCAACCTGACTGTCACAGATCCACCTTCCCACCCAGACATACGCAAATGCTGTGCATTTCTAGCTTGTCTGAGTCACTGTATATTTAGGTCTTTCTTTTTTTCTGAGTGTAAGTTTTTTTTTAATTTTTAAAATTATTTATTATTATTTCAATTTCTTTTATACACTCAATCACGTTACTTAACTTGCAAAGTGAAAATTCCCACATGTGTACATTTCATACCATCCAGTTGACGATACTGTAAAGGTATCCCTCAACATTCAGTAACCCACTTCTTTGTCTCATAAATGCCTTCCCTCTCTATTTTTCTCTTCAATGTCCTCCCTCATTTTTTAAGTCTTTCTATAACCATACTTAAGTTGTACTCTAGTGCAGGATTTCTCAACCTTTCACTATCGACATTTTGGGCGAGTAATTCTTTCTTGAGGTAGATTGCCTTGTGCTTCCCAGATGGTTGGCGGTGTCTCTGGTCTCTATCGCTTACTCTTAGTATCTTGAGATGTTGATGTAAATATCAGTGAGAGAAAAGGGACCTGCACATAGAAACCTTTGGAAATCATTTGCCTTTGGGATACATTCCCTGGTCTTGTGGATTGGGAATACATGAGAGTCGCGGGGAATTAGCGAACCCTCCTCTGGGACAGGATACCCCAATTCGTTGGCACCAGGGACATAGCCCAGACCATTGTACCTTCTCGGGGACAACAGAAAGGCCTACACAGCAAGTCTGATACGACAAAAAAAGACTCCAGCTCTATGAAATTACACCACAATCACTGAAAAGAGGGCCTGCGGTGGAAAAAAACAGAGAATGTTGCTGAGAACGCAGACTGGCAGGGAGTAACAAACCGTCATCTGGAAGAACAAAAGGAGAAGGATATCCTTTGTCTGAAATACCTGCTGACTCCAGACTCGTCCTTCTCAGACTAGGTGTAGGTCACTCCAAATCCATTTGAGTGTCTTCTTCTTTATTTTTTTTAGGTTTTTGTCATAGGGCATGTACATTCGCTGGAGAGAGACAGAGAGAGAGAAATAGTGAGAAGGAAATGAGAATTAACCCCCCCCCCCAGAGTCATCCCCAGGCCACAATTCCTTCTCCTCCATTCTCTTTTCAGAATCTGGGGTATGCATATACACGCACCTGGCATGATGTTCAAGCCACCAGTTCCAAAACTCGAACGGCAGTCAGTGGCGAGAAGCCAGCACCTTAACCACCATACCACCTGCTGAGTGTCTGAAGCCTCTTAAAAATACCCAAACATGGCACCATTTAGAAAGGTCCAGGTCGGGACCAGCAGTTAGCATAATGGCTAAGTCGCTGAACTCCCATGTAGTCGACCACGGTTCAAGTCCCAGACCCAGTGGCTTAAACTCACGCCCAGCACATGTGCATGCATGCCCAAGATCCCGAGAGGAGAATGGAGGAGAAGGGATAGAAAGAAAGAAAGAAAGAAAGAAAGAAAGAAAGAAAGAAAGAAAGAAAGGAGGAAAAAATAGAGAAAGAAAAAGAAGAAAGAAAAAGAGAGAGAGAGAGAAAAGGAAGGAAGGAGAAGAGAGGAGAGGAGAGAAGAGAAAAAGAAAAAGTAAAAGAGAAAGAAAGAAGAATGAAGAAAGAAAGAAAGAAAGAAAGAAAGAAAGAAAGAAAGAAAGAAAGAAAGAAAGAAAGAAAGAAAGAAAAAGAAAGAAAGGTCAGTCCAGACCAAGGAGGCAAATAGAGGTATGAAAAGCAAAGGATGGAGACTTGGGAGGCTTGCTAGGCTAAAGGGACAGAGCCTGGGGGGGGGGGGGGCACACCCTGCTGAAGTTCTCAGCAGCCCAGGTTTCTGTAAGATGCCTGCAGCCTTAAACACATGGGAGAAATTTCCAAAGGCATCATTCCCACTGGGTCAGTCACGGGGAATTGTCTGACAGTCTGAGCAAACTAATTGGTCCAGTAACAAGTGATTGAGACTTGCCGTCGTCCCCAGCTAACCACTCTGTATTGTAGCTATTTGTGTTAATATCTGTCTCCATGTGCAACTGCGACCTTTGAAGGCAGAGGTTGTGAATTACTTACCCACACATCCCCACTGCCCGGAGCGTCGAGTCTCAAGCAGTGTTCATTAGGTGGGAGTTTCTTAGTAACTGTTGGCTGTAGGGAATTGAAATGGATTATTAGAGGCACCTATGGATACGTAGCAGGGTGTCCGGATTTCTGGTTTTTAAAAATATGCTTATGACCCTGAGCATCTTTCTTCAAGGATCATTTTCTCTTAATATGCTTTAGAAAGTAGCTATTTGTCTTTCATCTTCTTGAGGCACATTTCAACACTCAGAGACTGAGCTGCTTTGCCCAATGGCTGCTCCAGGCTGCTCTTGTGACCTCAGAGAAAGAATGGGGATGAGGCCACCCTTCCTTTCTTACCAGGTCTGTGATTCTAATGATCCAGTCCAAGCCTGGTGAAGTGGAGCAGAGTGCACTTCAGGTTTAGGATGTCTAATAAGACTTACCATGAAGGGGGCCAGCAGGTGGCATGGTGGTAAAGGCACTGTACTGGACACTCCCATGTGACTGACAATGGTTCGAGTCCCGGACCTGGTGGCTTGCTTTCTGACTCCCCCTGTCCCTGCCTTTCTGTGTCTCTCTCTGGTCAAATTAAAATAAATGAATAAGTAAGTAAAATAAAATAAATAAATCTTAAAAAAAAAAAAAAGACTCGCCATGAAAGAAGACATGCTCAAATCAGAATGGCAAATACAACTGTGGGCTGAGTCCAAAGGAAAGTTAAAGTAGGGAATCCTTCCTCTGGCAGAAGCCCAGTCCCCCGTCTTGCCTATGTTTTGAAATCTAACTGTCTACTGTCTACTCTACCTAAAGGCAGCCCCTTCTTTCATAATGCCCTGAAGGAAT